TTTAATTCCTGGGTTTGAGGTAAAACAGAACCGATTGTCTGGACAGTTCTCGAGCTGAATGATTTGACTGTCCAGTTCAACAACGGTTCAAAAATCATGAATAAGCTTAAAGTTTTTCTTTTATTTTTTAGGTTAAAAAATATAGAAAAAATAAATAACAGAAGTTAACACTCCCGTCTTTACTTTTTTTGTACGTCACTTAAACCATTTACATGTTACAACAGGGATGAAAGTGTAGCCCTTGTTGTAACATGTATATGTGTAGCCCAGCCGAACTCTCAAATGGGTGGATATTGTGATAGGGACCTAAACATTCCTATGGTTTTTCTGACAGGGCATATGATGGAGTGTTTAAGATTTGAGAAACTAGTGGTGGAGTACAAGATTTTGAATTGGTAATGGCAATCTATGCTAGGGTTGAGGGATGGAAAAGGGAAGAAAGTTATGCCTTGTGGTGTTTGGTCAAGTTTCACATGTTTGTGGCGTTTGTGTGGCTAGGAGCTGAAAGAAGGAGAGAGAGAGAGAAGAGGTAGGAAGGAAGGAAAAGGGAATGGAGGAATGGTTCGGTTCCTATTTGCTCGAATGGATGAAGAAGATGAATTGTGAATCTTTAGGATTAGTTTAAATGCAAAACCATAAGATATTTAAATAGGTAAGGTTAAGGGTATTTTAGTAATTTTTTGATGATTAAGGGGGTATTTAGTAATTCCGCATGATAGAGGGTCAAACCGATATAATCTTTGGATGGCAAGGATTCTAAGATGATTTTCTAGATGGTGAGATAAGGTCTGATGGTGCAACAAGGTCTCAAGGTCTTGGGGCAATAGAGTTGCTTGAAATGAAATCTTTTTATTTTAAGGAGCAAATGGATATATTTTTGGACAAAATTTGACAAGGTAGAGTTTTTGAGGATGTTGGATCATTTGGTGTAGTTTGATTTGTTAAGATATGCTTAGATCAAGGGAATTTATTAAGGGATGAGTGTATTAGACAACGCGAGAACTTAAATTTAAATCTTTGTTTGATGGAAAGGCAAATGGGAAACTTTTTAAACTAGAATTTGTTTGCCAACTATCTAATGGGTCTAGAGTTGTGACAAAGGTGTAGGTCTGGGACTTCAAGGTTAACCAATGAAATAGGATAAAAGGAAATCTAGGTTCGATGATGAGAAGTAAAACTTGATGGATAGGTGTTTAGGGGTATCTAGGACATGACATAAAAATAGATCTTCAATTGGGCTATAGGAAGAGGGATCTGAATATCTAAAACTCAAAAGTATTCCAAGTCAAGTTGGGATTGGCCAAATAGAGGCCTAGGGGTGGAATCTGAGTTGATTTAGGGGTCAAATGGGTGAGTTTTTGTGTGAAATTTGGAAAGATGTAATCATTCTTCTCATTCATGGATGGAGAATGTCTGGAATGTTCTTCATTCTTTAGATAATATTTTATAAAATCAAAGTATCAAACCACATAAAACCGTACTTTAAAATCATCATACATACCATTCACCCTACATTATCTCAAACTTTTTTTAAACCACTTTTAAAATAAAAACAAATAACTAGTGAATATATTATCCAACTGCCTCTAAAAGAAGCAACTAGGTCAATCACCACTAAATAGAGCAATCAGTGGATCATACTAAATAAAATTAAAAATTTTACATTTTCTAACTTCAAGAAGAATACACTATTACAATTATATTGGCTGACTTCTGATCAAACATTCAAAGAAGGTGCAATTGAGCATTACAGGACAATCAAATCAAAACATTTTAGTGTTCAAAATGCATGCTGATGTAGGCGCACCTGGCCCTGACTAGTAGCATGCGTACACGTGGCAGGCGGTGGCACTCAGAACGGACCCAATGAAGGCATGCGCAAAGCAGAGATCGGCGTGTGACCTGGATCCAATTGCACAGCTGCATGCGGCGGCCTCGGATGGACGTGCTCCTCAAGATAGGATAGCATCTTGATCGTCTGATCCTACCTACCTCTGGCAGTCTCAAGTACAAATAGAGGGCAACCTCCTCAAGGTAAACATCTGAAATCTAAACTTAAGAACTTTGAGAGTTCTCCTGTTTCTCTTGTGGCCTCGTCTACCTTGCATTGCACCCGAATTAACTTGACCGTTAGAGTTTCTGCCTCGGCTATTCATTCGAGGCCTCTGACGTTCTCCCTTATTTGCTCCTTGCAGGACGGACCTATCAGCCCTTAGCCAACCTAGGCCTCAGACTCCTCGGCCACACCTCGGCTCGAAAGCAAATTGGCAGTGCTGCCCTTAACCCATTCTAGGCAGCAACACATGCTAATATGACCAATTGTGTTCTTTTTCTAATTAATTTAACAAAAATGGGTAGCATTTAAAAATTCGAACTTTAAATCTTAGCGATCAATGCAAACACTAAGGCAGAAGGAAGCAAGGGAATGGAGGAAATTGGCATAAGGGATAGGAGACGTTAAACCAAAGAAAGCTATAATTTTTCCCTGAAACAATGCCAATCGATTCTTCCTCCATGCACCGTTATAATTTCCACTATAGACAACTAAAATCTCTACATAATAGAAATCTAGGCAACAAAATCCCAGTTTTGCTTGTAGAAACCATTTATGGCTCTAATGAGCACCAAGTCTCACATAACAACAAATTTGTGGTTCCACTTTGATATTTTCCTTTTGAACAAGTGTATATCCCATTGCTTTATGTTTGGTTTTAGCGGTGGCAATTGGGCGGGTTGGGTTGGTTTGGGTTTGGGTTGAGCTTCAAATTAATTCATCTAACCCGCCAATCCATTAATGACCCGGTTTGCATATGATAGGTTGTCTCAGACTGATCCATATCGGGTTGTATAAAGGTCTAGGGCTAAGATGGCCGATCCAAACTAGGTCAAGTTGGATAATCCAGATTGGTCCAGTTTCGAGTCAGACTGGACCAGTCTATATTGGGTTGCATAGGGTTCTAGACAGAGTCAGTCAGTTCTAATTGAGTCAAGGTAACTAGCCCAGATTGACCCGGATTCGATATCGGGACAGACCGATCCAAGTCCAGGTCGGGTTGCCCTGTATGGGTTGGTGCAAGTTCATGTCTGGACCGAACAGTCTAAACCAGGCCAAGGTAACCAAACCAAGATAACCGGATCTAGGTCGAGTATTCAGACCGAAGTGAGTTCGGACTAAACTGACTGACCTCAAATCGAGGTGGTTGGCTCTGTTCATATTCAAACTTGGCTAAATTGAGTTGGATCGGTCCAGACTCAAGTGAAGTTGATTTGAATTTATTCTAATTTGGGTGAACTATATTGATTCAAGTCAAAACTAATTTTAATTAATAACTAACAAAAAATTAATATATTAATTATAAATTATTTCACTCAAATGAAAAAATTAATAAAAAATGGTTAAAAAATTCGCACTTGTACCATTAGTGATTAACCCAATGGTTATCCATAACCCAATCCATTTAAATTGATCCAATGGATGATCAACCCATTTCTTATTCGTCAAGTAAATGGATGGATTGGATGGATTAAATACCGGGTGAATTGAGTGAGTTCAACGGGTTGAGTGAAAAATTGCCATCCCTATTTTCATTTCGTTTCTCTACCTTCTCCTTCAAACCAAAGGAATGCTAACAAAATTCGCGGTTTAGAATTTAGAGAGGAGGAATTTCTATAAAAGTATAAACTACCCCCTCCCCTCCCTTAACAATTCAGTATTAGTTTACAGAGGCACAAGTTGATCAAACTCCTACYTAACTTACCTCCTCATACAAGAGCATTTCTCAGCGCTGATCTAGAATATTTCTTGGACATATGCTGAACCTCACAAAATTGCACAGTCAAAGTGGCTGAAGTGAACTGCGCAACCGTCTTTTAGTGAACAAGTTTGGTTGTAAGCATAGCTGAAGCTGAAGTTGTTGATTGATTACTAAAAACTGAAATTCTTTATTATTTTATTATTTTATTAATTAAAACAAACAAATAAGTCATTTAATTCAACCCCCTTAGGCTACATTTATAGTTTTTAAGGCGCCAAGGCGAGGGAGGCTAGGCGAGCCTTGTCGGCTAGTTGGGCATCAAGTGTAAAAATATGTATCCTAAGGTARTTCCTTAAGTTCTATAATCATATTTTCTTAATAATTATCCATAATTTTTATAAAAAAGTATAAACTTTATGTTAAAGTATAGAAAATCAACATATTCATGAGAAAAAAAGAAAGAAAAAAAATTTCAAAAAATATAAAAACTAAACCCTTATTTCTGTTATAGGAAAAGAAGAAAAGGTAGAAAAAGAAAATTGGTATATAATATAAACACACAAAATTAGTAAAGAAAAAGAAGTAAATGTGTTGGTTAAACAACATTTTAAGTTCTTCCTTACTTGTTAGTTCAGGTTTTGAAGTCTTTCAAGGTTCAATACAGCATTTAGCAATGTTTGTGTTGATTAAACCCTAACAAATAAGAAAATAATAAAAAAAAAATTAATATATAAGCACACAACATGAATATTTCAGTTTAAAAATATCTTTTAAAATTATAATCTCAAAAAATTAAGAATATAAAAGTTTTATCTAACACACTAAAAAAATGCTTAGTGATTAGGTGAGGCGAGCCTCCATAGGCGCCTTATTGCTTAGGTGTAGCCTTGACGACTATGGCTGCATTTGTCATTCCTTATTTTAAGGAATCATCTCCTTTTTGCAGTTAAAGTACCCTATGAACACTGAGCTTTTAACAGCAAAAAGGAGATAAATCCTTAAAATAATGCCAAATGCAGCCTTAATAATTACCTTACCGCACTATTCTTGATTCTCCGACCATAAATAGTAGTAGTGCTATGGTAAGAGCAAAATCTCATATAGACCTTTTTTTGACACGGTTATGTCATACGAGGTAAGGAGGGAGATCATCAAGTTTATCAGGAACCGTCTGGAGCCCTGTGAATTCACTCTTCAATATTTGGGACCGTCAAGAATAGAGTCTTATTAAACTTGGAAGTATAATTCATGGAATAGCACTTAGATTGCAGAAACCATTCTCATCAAACAAAATGTCAAAGATAAAATTCCAACTACAAGCCACAGATTCTTATCTTTTTTTATGGTTTTTCTTCTTTCTTTTTTTACATTCAAATCAATTAAAAGACACCAATAAAAAGCAACATTCATCATCCTCCAACATTCAAGTGTTAAAAGAACTGATAGCACTCAATCGAATATTACCATAGACTTGGGTCCAAAACCCACCAAAAGAATAATAGGTCCTATTCTCAGCTTCAAAATTGTATTGGAAAATCCCAACACAGGAAATCTCCCAAGTGATGGTTACTGCCTCCTCTAGCAACCTGTAAAATTACAGAAAAAAAGTAATCATATAAAGCAGTGTCCTTACCTGCAAGAATTGATCCATGAGCTACAAAGACCAGTGAATCATTGATATTTCCTTTTTTTTTGATAATTGAAAGATTATTTCATTAATCAGTGGATCATTGGTATTTCTACCATTAAAGTTTCCATTTTTTTTTTGATAAATTACCATTAAAGTTTCCATTTTTCAACCACAAATCAACTAAACATCACTCTAGAATGTTCCCATTTTACCAAATGATGTTCTTGTATCTTTTCTGGAACCAAGTTTCAGACAAATCTTTCCATTTATCAAAGCATTTCTAAACTTTATTTGCAAAGTTTCCTTTTAAAATATCTATACAAGTATATATGCTTTCCTTCAATCTTGGGTGCAAGGAAAAACCCTAGGATGATTGTTTGTTCTTAGCATCTACCTAGGGTGTGGATGCTTAAATCTTTTCTTTTTATTTTTTGAAAGGTAAAAGGTATTTTATTGTATTGTATTAAAATATGGAGGAAAAGCTACCCTGCGAGCAAAATAATTACAAGTTGATAGGAAAGTAATCCTTGTGTGCTATACAAATAAAAACTTCCAATGAATGGAAAGTCATTATTATATGAGACTCCAAAAAATTCCTTTTTGCTGCATGCCTAAAATTGATGAACCTTTCAATCTTGGCAATAAACTCAAGAAACTCCAATCACTTCCCTTCAAAGGTTCTACCATTATGCTCTCTCCAAACCGACCAACATATTGTTTCTGGTGTGAACTGCCAAAAGATTTTCCCTTTCCTACTCAACCTCTTCAGCCACCAAAATGAAAACAAGATCAACAAATCAATTGGACACGTCCAACTACTTCTGAAAAACTTCAAAAATGCATCCAGAAACTGTAGATTCCTGTACAGTGGATAAGCAAATAAGGGTGTTCATTGTACGGTTCAAACCACAAAACTGAACCAATTTTGTGGTTTGGTTCGGTCTGCCCCTAAAACGGTTTGTTCAGTTTGATATTTTGCTAAATTACAGTTTACACTTTCGGTTTAGTTTATTGAATTTTATAAACCGAACCAAACCAAAAACCAAAATTGTATACATATAATTTATAAACATATGATTAGGTTTTAATTTTTAAGGGTGTTATTTGGGCTTCTAATTGGGTTAAGCTCAATAGAATCATGGAATGTCCAAACTCCCCAAACCATATTAGAAACCACACCAAACCGTAATAAAACTGTTCGGTTTAGGAATTTCTCAAACCATAATTTACTGGTTTGGTCTGAGATCTCCAAACCAGACCATGAACACTCATACTCATAGAAGGACCAATTGTTCCAAGTAACCCCACATGCTACACTGTTGTCTATAGCCATACCTCTCGAAATCAAATTGTCAGCAGTTGGAATTCTGTCTAAGATAGCTGTCTACAGAAACAACTATCAGGCTTTTGAAGCGAACCTCTATTCTTCTAAGTTTTTCCTCCCTCTTTTTGCTTTTGGAAGAGCATTTGTAGCTCCGTAAAAAAGTATCACAAGTTTTGAGTTTTTCCTTTCAATTTTCTCCCATCAAAAGGCGAGTTGGTCCATTTTCTTCTAAATTTCAGTCATGGCATTTTGTTTTAGTTTCACAAAGTTACAATTTTAAATTAARACTTTATATTTTCCAAAATCCAAACATCAAAAAACTTTTTTGGTTAACTTTACTTTTTCAAAAACAAAAAAATTATAAGTTTATGCTAATGGCTAAATGCTTGTAGTAGTTGCTTCTTTTACTGTTATGGCTGACAGCTCCATGCCCTTCGTTGAAGTGGTTAAAGAAGAATGCATAATCAAGACTGAGTTACAGTATAAATAGTTAACGCAAGCAAACATAATGCTTAGAGATAAATATTGGATTATTAAAAACAACAACAGTTCAAAGATAAACAAATATAAATATCAGCTACCTTAAATTATATCAACGTCTGCTAGTTTTTCCAATGGAGCGCTTCCCAGAGAACAAGTGCTTTGGTTTCAAAGTTGGAATGACCCTATCTGCCTCTCCCCGGCGAGCATCCTTGTTCCTGTTCTTGACAGATTTCTTAGCAAGTTTCATAGCTTTGACTTTCTGTGCAGAATCCTTAAATCCCTCTCCTGGAGTAACATCACCAGGTGGTCGTGATCGTGACCTTGATCTTGATCTAGACCTCATCCTTAGCTTCTTGCCAGGTTGGTCAACATCCATATCCATGGCATCAACATCACTATCTTCCCTGGCCAGTGATCGCTCCCTCTTTCGGCCCCTCCTAGAGACGGACCTACTGCGGGCCCGGTTAACGGCTGAAGTGGGATCAAGCCCCAATGCAGACAGCTGCCTCCCCATCCTCTCTGATGTGAATTTCCTGTCTTTATCAAATTTCCTTGGTACGGTGGGCCTACTCTCTGCAGTGCTCTTCTTGATCCTATGCTGCTGAATGAGCAAGCTCTTTTTCTTCCTAATTTCAGCCAAGGCTTCTTGCTCTTCTGGAGTTAACTCTTTTCCATCCATCTCAAAATCATCATCATCGGCTTCATGTTCAAGCCGGAGCCCCTCTTCCCTCTCTAACTCTTCAAGTCTTTGTAAGATATCTGGATCAATAAAGTCAGCAACATTGTGACCATCAATTATTTCTGGCATTATATCTTCTTTCCATTCATCACTTGCTAGGATATAGTTCTTCTTCAAGTTAGCTGAGTAAACACCAGCCCCACCATTCTCACTCTCCAACTCTTTTTCGAGTTTCCTCTTCTCTTTTTCTGTCACTGCCTTAGCTTTGGCTTCCAAAACTGCCTGAGGAATACAAGCTGGCCTTTCCTTCTGATCCCGTGGCTTTGGAATTGCAACATGAAAACGATTCAAGCAATCATTCATCTTCTTTGACTTCATCTTTAATTCTACCCGTTGATTCAATAGTCTCTCACAGGCTGCATTTTTCACAGCCATAACTCCCTCCTCGGTCAAGGTACTCATAGTCAAAAGCACACCATCATCATTAATAGCCTCACCACCTTGACCTATAACAGTTTTCATAGCTTCATCTTTCATCTCCATGACCAATTTCTTGTCTTCATCAGAAAGCCCATCAAATGGCTGCAGATCTGTCTTGTTGCAGACAATAATTAGCGGTTTGTTCATAAACAAAGACTTAATACTGTGGAAGAGAGCTGCCTGCTGGGCAATGCTGTACCCACAAGACCCAGATATATCCAAGAAAAATAAAACAGCAGCTCGAAGGTGGGCCAGAGCAGTGATGCTACACATTTCAATGATGTTACGATCCTCAAAAGGACGGTCCAATATCCCTGGGGTATCAATCACTTGGTACCTTAAGTATTTATAGTCAGTATGACCAACAAAGAGAGACTTTGTGGTGAATGCATATGGCTGTACATCTACATCAGCTCTGGTGATCTTGTTGATAAATGAGCTCTTGCCAACATTTGGATATCCACAAATCAAGATTGTTCGTGTGTTTGGGTCAATTGAAGGTAGCCTTGCCATGTGTTGTCTTATCTGCTCTAGGTAGGCCAAGCTGGGACCAATACGTTTGATCACAGTACACATGCGGCCAAGTGCAGCAACCTTCAGGCACTTGCATCTATAGAGTGAATCACCATATTTCAACAGCCTCACATAATCCTTTGCAATCTTACCAATGAGATTCCTTGCAGTGTTGATCTGGCCTAAAGCAAGCTTATAATGATCTTTATTATAAAGGACATGGAGAAGGTCTCCATAGAATGGATGTATGTCATCCAGCCTAGGAAACTCATCAATGATGGCAGAGAGCTTCTCATGAAAGTTCTGTTGAGTGAATTTCACTTTGCGCATGTAGAATTGACGAAGGCGGGAGATGGCATAGCCCTTGTGGACAACAGTTGGAGTCTGACGCTGAGTGCGGGAGAGGATTATGTCAATGAAGTCCTTCCCAGAGGGGACAACAGTGATCTTTTTGAAGTTGTATTGCACCATCGTTCAGGGTTCTGTTTACTATGCAGAAAAAAAAAATAGAATGGGAAAGCTATTAGTGAGGGGATTAGTGCTGGGAAATACACGGAGATTATGCTGAACATCTGTTAAATAGTTCATAACTTCATATCAATAAAACAATACAAACTCAGCAACTGTCCCTGAAATGGCAAGCATCTTAGTTCTTAATGGTATGAGAATAGTTTCGTGAGTAGAACAGAAAGCAGAATTACATTAATCAAACTTTGGAGAAAGCCAAAAAAAATGGTCAAATGAAATAAAACGATTTTTCCCTCCTGAAATTTAAGAACAACAAGACATATTTGGGTAATACAAAACTGGAGAGTATAACCATCAAGCAGCRAGGAAGAAAAAACCTGTTTCGGTCCAATAAAAACCCTAGAAGAGGTAAAATATTCACAAAATTAGAGACAAAAAGGAAGAATTAGATTCAAACCTGTTGCAAAGAAGAAGGCTTGCTTGAGTAACCGCGGAAATCGGCAATAAGGAGAAAAGTAAATAGATCTACTGCGAGAGGGTGACTGTTCTTGCTAGAATAGGTTTTACGGATCCAAAGCTCTGCCAGTCTGCCTTGCTCGAGGCGGAAGAGACGAAAGAAAAACCCTAAATCTCTAATATAGCTTAGCTGAGAACCAACCCGGCTAAGTTGGAAATGCAACCGCATTTGCATCCGGTTCCGAGCGGGGCCGAACTGTTATAAATTTATTTGATTTATTTTAAAGTTACCTGTGATTGTGAACCATTGCCTGAGTGGAAAGGTATTCCGGTTCAATCGTTATGGTCAGACCGGTCAGTGGTTTCTGACCAAATCAATGTATTTTTTAGTTGTTCACATATGCGCCGCACATTGCCCTACATTACATTTCCACCTTGTATTGAGAACATCTAAGTACGGAAATATGTACTCATAATGAGCGGGGCGAACAAGAATTTCCGGATTAAACGGTTCAACCACATGGATTAATAACACTTTTAAAACCGTGTCATGCCGCAAGCGTGAAGTGACTCGCATGTAAAAGAGCAGCCCAACCCACCCTAGCCACAATTAATGGGCGGGTTGGGTCGAGGGATGCCAACCGCCTCAAATTGGGGTGTAATATTCAGCTCAAGACCGTCGGATCTTCTACCCACCCACAATAACAAGACAGCCATCCCGATGGGATTTTTTCACGATAAAAACTGTCCCAACACAGTTGTGATATGTATCCGCGCATCTGCATCTCATCGTAATACGAGTCCGGACAAATTTTACCCACACAAACTGTGCTCACGTTTACCCACATAACATCTCAATTACATTCTCCTACATAGTCTTTCAGGGGAGATGTTCCCAATTCATGGGATAGTGTATTGTGGATATACATGAACAGAGTTTGTGTGGGCAAGAGATCCGGAGTTTCATAATATTGGGGTAGGGTCTGCTATCAACTAAATGCTACCAATATTGTCCCAATAGAATACTGCATCTTTACATTGGGAACATCTGCGGCTACAATGGCTGGTTGGGACATTGTTGGCACCTTGTGTTGAATCATCACTGCATATGCAATGTGTGGACATGGATTATGTTGGAATGTGTTGAAACAACTTAATGTTGTGAGTAGATCCAACCTTACATCAGGAACACCCTTGCTATCCACACTATGCCACAATACTCAGATCTAGTTCCAGCTAAGGGCCTGTTCATTTCCTCTTATCTCTTATTTCTTAATAGGAATCTTACAACTTTAAGAGGAAAATGGTCGTTCGTTTCCTCTTATCACTTATCTCTAAAAGACAAACCTTACATTTTTTGTTTTCCAATGGTACCCTGTAAACACAAAATACTTCTCTTTAATTATTATTAATTATTGATTTTAATAATAATAATAATTATTATTATTATTATAATTAAAAGTTAATTAATAACTAATTAATATTAATTAATACTTATTATTATAATAGTTATTAATTATTATTAATCATTATAACAATTTTTAATATTATTTCTTTATTGAATTCAAAAGGTTAATAACAAATTAATAATAATTAGTAATTATTAATTAATAAAAAATATTATAATTAATTGTTAATAATTAATAACTAATAAATATTAATTATTATTGATGAGGGGTGATTTGGCCCGACCTAGTAAGTAGAGGACACGTGGATAGGATTTGCCAACTAGACTATGAATCCGCATTTATTGACACCTCAACACTACATGCCACCTCGGCGAGCAAGGCCACTTTAAGCATGCGAGCTATCTCCGAGCTCTTCGGGATCATGTCGCATAACCGTAGGACCTATCCTTATCCCGCCCGAATCGGACAGACACGATGGGCCTTACCGGCTAGCACGTTATCCACCTCCCAGGGTGGAACGAACTCATAATAGAGCAGGTCGAGGATCTCGGAGGAGTTTCGTGAGACCCACAACAGTCCAGCTATATAAGGGCATTAGCCCTGGAGTCCGGATCTCCTGCCCACGTTTATCATAGCCACACATGGAGAACATCTCATCCTCTACATGGTATTATGCAGGGGGGATGTTCCCAATACACGGGGGTAGTGTATCGTGGGTAGGCGTGGGCAGAGTTCTTATGGGTAGGAGATCCAGAGTCTAAGACCCAGGTACATGCGATTTAGTGCATTCTAGCTCTCATATTCATTTACTTTCAGCTCGCAACCACCTAGTACTAACTTAAGCATCGGAGTAACCACGTCGGGTTAGCCACCCTAGYTTCTCTGAATACTTCTTCTTTGCAGTTCGATCAGCCAGCTAGGAGCTACCAGATCGCGCATCATCAATTGGCGCCGTTTGTGGGAAACGACAAGAAAGTCAAGTTCTCTTCCTTAATCACACCTTTCAGCATCCCATTAATGGCATCAACCAGTAACACCGAAAAGAGTGTCAAGATGACCTTCACTAGGGGGCAGGAACAGACCTTCGTCATGTTAAACAGTGTCTTAGCTCCAATCAGAATGATGTACATTATGACATTTAATGTAAATGAATAAAGTATATATTTGATTCATGTTGTTATGGTGTGTTTCTATGTAATACCCTTAAACTAAACACATATGAGACTCGTGCTAGTTTAGAATCTTCACAGTCGTTGGATAGATCTAGGGAGATTTATCTTGCCAAGGCTGATACTGATGTACCGCCAAGTTGGTTGGGGTGGCTTGTCTTAGCTGCCAGGGTGAGACCTGAGGTACATGTAGTGTGGGTTTTCTTGAAACCCTGAATCAGACTAGAATTCCAGTATTTTCCTAGACCTTGGAGATTGATGGGCAAAATTGGAATGTTACACCTAACCCCTAGACTCGATTATGATATTGCACTAGGTATCGGATTGGGCTGTCTTTGATATGCCAATCAATGAAATCCTTAGAGGGGGTCAAAACCTAGGTAAGTTGGGACAATCTGAGAATTCATCTGAGTGGGTGATTATAGTGATAGGATCAGCCCCTTTGTCGGACAAAGTGAATGATTAGGGATGCACTCTCTCTGATGGAAACCAAAGCTGCCGACAACCGATTTCACCCATTGAATTTTTTTTTGCAAAATATATTTATATAAAGATATACATATATATTATGGTTTCAAAATGTTTTAATTCCCGGGATCCATATGAGTAGAGAGTGCAGCACTGTTCCTTGTAGCTGAGGGAGAGGTCCTCTCTTGTTGGGCAGTGTTTGATCATTATGGGCTGAGATGTTAAGTGTAAGACCATTGAGGGTAATACCTGATGGGATAATCTTGCATCTACCGACAGTCTTTGGGTTTTTATAAGGTGGCTCGACCCAGGGACCACTTAGTGTAAGTGTTGGGCCCATTAAGAGCCCATGGTGATGGGCTCAGGGGTTCACTGTTTCCTACAATGAATTCAGCCAGGCCTTGTAACAGAGGTTGGGCTGAACCCATGTGGCTGATGTGTAGATCAATGTTTGGGTCCCACGCCATACTAGGATACTCAACTGGGCAGCAGTTTGGAGGATATGTGAGCACATGGACTTAATGGGCCTAAAGCCCAATTCGAACTGGTATAATATGATTATTTAAAGAGGGGTTGTTCTGGGATTTAGATCAGCAGATAGGATAGGGAGTTATCCCTATCCACTCAGAGAGTCCAGATCTAAATAAAGATTTGGATTAGGAAACTCCTAATAAGATTATGAGGGCTGATCTTTATCTACAGATAAGATAAGGGTTTATCCTTATCTCTTAGAGAGAGTCCATATCCAAATAAGATTTGGATTAGGAAACTCCTAATAGGATTAGGAGAAGCTCTCTTTAAGGCTATRAATAGAGGAGGAGGGCGAACCCTACTACACCCAACAAGATTACAGATTCAAGAGAGAAGACAGCTCCGGTTAGACTGATGCCATCTTCTGCTCCTGCCTCCCTCTATTGCTGCCGCCATAGCCAGTTCGTTCTCCACCTGTAGGAGYGATCAAGAAAGGTTCTTGATATCAGTTTTTGGTGAAAAACTGATCTAAAGTCGTGCTCACTCACCCTCCATTGAATTCTTGCTGAAGAGTCCGGTTCGTGCTGAAGAACCACCTGCTGATTCTACTCCACCCTACTTTGTGTCATCTTCAGTGGGAGCAGTCTTTGGTGTTTTCCTTGGGCGTGAACACCTTCGTTGGGAGTTACTGCTACTCCGTATCAGGTATATCCCTCTCCTACCTTTTGGTTTCAGATCTAGTTTGGTTTAGGTTTAAAATTGATCCTTGAAAATGCAGTTTTCTAAAATAGGGAATGTGATTCCCACATGGGAGAGAGAAATTTTTGAAATTTCGCCCAACCTACCTGCAGGGTTCGGCCATCCATATGATGGATCTCTCATCCCTTCACGTCAATCTAGAGTTCCCCACAGTCTGCATTGGTCAGTTCATCATTCCCCTCACTATTTCACGGGTGCCGACAATGCAGAACCAGGCGTTCTATACACAGCCGTTGCATACCCCACTGCCCCAGGTGAGCACCACCATCTCGGTTGTAGAGCCCTCGGTGGTTCCTCCCGAGGTTGGGTCTCGATAGTTTGACGAGCTGGTCTAAAGTGTTTGGTTATGCTCTCTAGATGCAACAGATCCACCAGTTCCAGYAGTACCAGTAGTACTATTTCCATTAGCAGTATCGACAACAGTTTCCACCACTTCATAACCAGAACCAGCAGTAGAATGTGTGTTGATCCCCTCCTGGGGCGCGGGGACATTTTGGATCCCAGCCCCTCCTCGGGGTCAGACCCCACCTCGGGACCGAGCAGCAGGTCAGTGCACACCGCCACCTTCCCAAGTGGAAAATTAGAAGGACCGTCCCTAGGATAGCCGTCAGACCAGGACTAATCAGCAATAGCACTCACAGTGTGAAAACTGCGAGCCTCAAGTCAACAACCGTCAGCTCGAGGCAAGAAGCGCGGACTCACATCGAGACCCCTCGGTCCCCCACAACAGCCAGCATCTAGTTCGCATTCGTGAGGACGTAAGTTACAGGAACCAGCTTCCACCTCGTGATAGCATCCGAGAACAGGAGCACACTAAAGTCGAGGTGCCGAGCAACACCGAAGTGAACAACACCAACGAGGCTGCAAGGAGGCGACGCCATCATAGAGCACGCCGAACATCAACGAGAAGCAGCTTGCCGGCAA